CGCCAGAGGTTCGGCCATTTTTAAAACGTGAATGCCACACAAAAGTTTGCGGACTCCCCAAATGTTTGCTTTAGCATTTCATAGGTTTCCTTAGCCGTTTTGGCGAGTCTTTGGCAAAATTTGATGCACACGCCATTCCGAAATCGCAGGAGGGTCGGTGTAATGCACTACCAAAACGCCCGTAACTAAGACACAAATGCTAATTCGATGATGCCGGCTGGCACACTGATTCACTATGAATGTAGGCCCAACCCCTTAGCGGCAGAAGCTCGTACTACATCCGGTTCGCCCTCTATTGACACAGTCTTGAAACTTTCTGATCGCACCTCGTATGTGGCCCTGATATCCTCGTGAGCTGCTTTGGCACTTGTAATCATCTTAAGATTTTTTTAAAATTTTATCTCTATTATGATTATCATGTATGTCTTGAAAATCTATCAGTACCTTCATTACGTCTTTTCTACAGTTTGATTATTTTCCTGTTATCTGTCCCAGTGCAGAAATGAGATCCATGAAGCATATGTTGTTGTTACTTCAAATGGTGACATGCTGAAAGGTGAACAGAAAATGAATATAATGTGTGTAATATATATATTAAGATGTTGTGTATGACTGTATGTATTATGCGTAACTGACCAAGTTCTCAGTAATTATGCTAGATAGCAAAATGTTCTATTTTACAAGTGCTGCTACCATAATGTAGGTTCTAGATTGACTTGTAAAGGAGATAAAGATATAAAGGGCTAAAAGAAAGGAATTAAGTTATGAAAGAAATCTTTCCCTGTTAAAGTTCAGTGGCCTACAATACTAATATACTGAATTGTTTAATTTGTCTTCGTTTCTTCAGGTATTCACTTCATTGACCAACAGCGTTACCATTGCTCTACTTGCGGACAGTCCTTTGCTTGGAAGTCGACACTGAACAAACACATGCTCACTCACAGTATAGGTCCTCTGCCTCGCTACAGATGTGATCTGTGCAGCAAGGAATATGCTGCTGCTACGCAGGTTCAGGTGAATGCTGCAAAATAATTTAGTTCTATGTATTAAATATATTTATGCATCTTGACTGCAGAGGAGTGCTACTGACAAACCCATTTATCTTGTTAACTGCAAATTTTACATGATACTGCAGTGGCAATGAAATAGGAGACTCAATATTTTACTGAATAACTTGACATGATATTTGAGAAGAGTATTAATGTGTGTCTGGATTTTGTCCATGTCTGGTTTCCAAATAGAAGAATGCTTTGGAAACTAGACCTGTTTCTGTCCTGAGAGGAAAAAGTGGGGAGTACCTTCTCAGTAATATACCGTCATCAGAAGGGGGGAGGGAATGAAGGTACAGGGCATACAGAAAGGTAATTAACATAGGCAGTAAATGAGTTTAGCTTCAACCATTAAATTACTAATTAAAACCCTTGTTTCAGGAACACATTAAACGGGACCACTACAAGCAAAGGCCACATGCTTGTCTTGTTTGTGGTAAAACTTTTTATAAGAAATATGATCTTAAAATACATATAAGGTAAGCATATAATTAGTACATTTTAAATTATCTTCAGTAACTATGGCTCTATATTGTTGTTAGAATGTTATGAACAAAAATTTGATTAAATCCTTCAAATGATGTTTGTATTCATTATAATTTGCAGAACCCACACAAAAGAGCGACCATATATTTGTGGGACATGTGGGAAAAGTTTCTACCATCTTTCTCATATAATACGTCATGAGCGCATCCATTCTGGTCAGCGACCATATCACTGCCCTGACTGCGGCCGTCAGTTCAACCAGTCAAGTTCACTTAAGAGCCATAGGTTGGTACTGATTGTAGGAAGCTTAGATTAATAATTCTGAGGTGTGTGACTATTTTAATAGTAATACAACTGATTGCATTTCAGGCAGCGTCACAACCAATGTGTCACAAAAGCTGCTCTAACTGGAACTCAGCTGGCACCTCCAGAGTTAGTACATCCTGAATATCCAGACATTGGGCCAGATACAGTTCTTCTGTATGCAGGAGCTGATTTATAATACTGCAGATATTGGAGAAATTCATCAGCCTGTGATATGTACATTGTTTCTTATTCATTGCCGCGAGTACCATAATCAAGAGGTAGTATTGTTTTTGGAAACAAACTTACAAGGGACTTACAAAATGTCTGAAAAATATTATGTTGCAAGTGTAAGGATAGCCACACTGAGAAAAATGTGGTTTCTAGGAGGAATATGAATTTTGGTAGTGACAATGCATTGGTTAATGTGCCTGTTGTTTTGGTAGTCATTGAGAAGAAAGTAATTTTTAAAATAAATTGGGGCAGAAATGAACAGTTTCTTAACAGAATAAGAATGGACAATTGAAAACACTAGCTGCTTTGCCTTCAAAAATTATATTGATTATGGTACTGACTCAAATGCCCTAGAATATAGTTTTCATTTTTATGTGTTCATTATCTGGAGGGACTGTGATAACATTCTTGAATATTTCCATGAACACAAGGAACAATGTACTGAAATACACTCTCAAAGTGGGACACTGTTACTCCAAAAATTAGCAATAAAATAATTCCAAATAATTTTAATTACAAATTTATAATACACTACAGAGGAAGTTCCCATTATTTGTCTGGATTTTTCATAAAATAAACTGTCCTGAAATAATGAAATTGCTTATTTATTATGACTATTATGAATCTTTCCTCCTGTTAACCACTCTTCTGTTGTTCACTGCCATGGTGCTGCATAATGATCACTTGATGCTGAGAGTATGTGGGGTAAAATTTAAGATTTTTACACAAGATTTCCAAAACAAAAAGTAATATGTGTTCTTGAAACAAATCTCTCAAAGTTCCAGCTTTTTATGAAAATTCTGACCCTAGTTCTTTAAATATATATATTCCCATTGACTAAAATTAAATAGTACTTACTACCACGATGCTGCTTGGTGATTGCTTAAATTTAATTCTGGAGAGAGCAGTATAGAAGGTTTACAAAATGAAGAGAAATATCTGTATACCTTGGAATGGAACTCTCAAATTCACAACTTTCTAGGACAATTATAACAATATTAAATTGGCGAAAGAATAAATTTATTCTACAACTTTTTGCCTTTTGAAGCCTCTAAAAGCAAACACTGGCCACTTGTATGGCACTGTATTATTGTTACATACCTTAAACAGCTGTATATGAAGTTTTGTACATTTAATTGAAAACTGTCATTGTTTTGAAAGTTTGTTTTAGTTTTTATACTGGTAACTTTTCTTGCAAAGGAAATTTTGCATTTTTCCTAAATTACTAATTGTGGAGAAATAAGTTTTAGTATAAAGAATTTCAGACCTGCTTAAAAGTTTCATGCATTTTAAGTTTAGTTATGCATTTATAAAGTGTGTCCCAAAAGATGATTATACACAACCATTATATACATCTGCATTGTGTATACATATTTTTGGGAAATCCTGTGGAATGAAAATTCATAAGTTGAAAATCACATAATATCTTGAATAAATTGCATCAACATTAACATGTTTACAGTTGTCAGAATTTGAACAGAAATCATTTTGGAAAACATGTTGTAACATCTTCACTATCTCTATACATTTCAAAATGTGTAAGATGATTCAAATCGTCCTCTAAGCCAATTAGATAGTGGAACATCAAAACATGAATGTAAAACAATGGAACACCGTCATGGAGAAGAAATTTAGACAGGAATTCAAATAGGAATAGAGACCACTGAACAAAATCATTTTATATCATAGATGATGCTGTAAAATTACAAAATAAATTATTATGAAAGTAAGATTAGTTTTTGGTGTGCCAGGTTATGCTGGTTTACAGTGAGCCTGACATTTGAAAAATCCAGTGTTGCCACTTCCATAATTCCCAAATGTGGTGATTTCCTACACTGCCCAAAAACAAGTAAAAAAGATTTTGCTGAAGACATTTCTAAAACATAATACTAACTCTACCTAGGTAACATGTATCTTCAGTGATGTCCATATAATTAGGTCTGAAAGCAGTTTTGTGTATAATGAAGAATCTGATTGAGCATAGCTTTGCATAAGTGAAAAGTTAGTAAACTTAAGGAAATGAGAAATTAAAAAAAAAGTCTGAATTTTAAAAACAAATAATATACATTTCTGAATTCAAATGTAATCTGAATGGATAAGTAACTCTAATTCTGGAGACATGAAAAGAGTCCTTCATATTGTGTCACTTACACTGCCAAGAACAATATGTTGTGAGGGTAGGGTAACAACACCTAGTATTCAAGAGAAACAGATAAATTTCACTCTGGTCTCACAAAAACTGTGTAATATTTTGACTACATTCAGATCAGGTTCAGGAAGAGAGTGTGCACATCAGTGGGTTTTAATTTTCTTTCTACCTTTTCAGTAACTGTAGCAAAGTAATTACCAACTACTTAACTTGTGGTAGGATGTACTTATCACTGTTTAACATAAATTACCACAGAACAGTTACTTTTTGTTTGTTTTTTGCCCCTCCTTAAAAATTGCACTTTTGAGATTCTAAACTTTACTTCTGTATTGTTAATATCAGAAACATTATGTATTTTTAGTGTTGGAAAATTGAATTGTTGTGTTCACAAATCAAAGTTCTTCGGCTATTTTTCGTTCTGATAACATAACATGTATGTATGTGTTATTACTGTGGCATGGTGAATCACTGAATTGTAGGGTAAACTACTATCGTAATGCATTATGTTTAACTTGGCTCCTTGAGTTTTAAATATTTCAGTTCTCTGTATTAAAATTACTTTATTTCCTTTATATAAAACCAGTTGTTTCATAATTCTTAGAATGTGATAACTTTACATTTTGTCTTTTAAGATGAAGGATCATGATATTCTATACTTACATGTACAGTACTGTCTGCATGCAAGATTGATTAGTGTGAATAATTAGTAAACCACTTCAGTATTAACTGTTTCTAAAACACTTGACAAGGTTATGTATTACAGGTTAAGCTATCGAATGAATACTAATCAAAAATTATGGCCAGAACAGTTGGTTTCAAGGAATAGCCACTGAAAATGTTGCCTCCATGGTGAAAGCAATCAATAAATATTCATTTTGCCCACAAATGTATTCACCAGTTTCAAATTATTCCCACAGCCAACGGCTAGTATCTCCAAAAGCAGCAATAACAACCTGTTTCTTGTAGTGGTTATGGGTTGTGTTTTCTTTGAGGTAAAGGCTAAATGTTTAAATATTAAGCTCTAGCATCAAAGGTTTAATGAAATTGGATTGCAGTCTACAGACTGGTTTTATCTGGCTCAGGATAGGGAGAGAAGGCATGGTCTTGTGAACGAGGTAATTAATCTTTTGGTTCCATAAGAGGTGGGGAATTTCTTGACTATCTCAGTGACTACCAGCTTCTCAAGAACTCTGCTCTGTGATGTTAGCTTGTTAGTAGAAAACAGTGTACATGACCAAGGTCTCAAAAGCAGAATGAGTAGCCAATCTTAGGTTGTACTTCCTGTCATGTCAGTTTTATTTGCATGTAACTATTTTTAAAGTTCCTCAGTCCATGGTTTACTACTTTTTCTGGATTGAGAAAGCTGGGAATTTATATTGCAACACACTGAGTATCCTAAGCTTTTTAACCTCTGCCTTTCTTCTTGCCTTGAGTATAAGGAATGAAAGTAAAAAGAAAGTAAAACTAGTTAGTTATTTTTGAAATGAACACTTTAAATTCAAACATATGAATTCATTAATAAAGATATACGTAGAATATAGATAAAGAGAAATAATCTTATTTTAATGAGTATTTATATTGGTAAAAACTACCTTCACCACAATTACAGCCAAATGTTTGGTAAGAGCCAGACTTCTCACATAGGAAATCAGAATGGGCTGCTTGATCAGAGTTATCACGCATCTTACAGGATATTGATATATGAGTATTGGGCAATGGTAAAATAATGGAAGGAGGGATAATTCAATGAACTTAGAAACTGCTCCATAGCCACATAGTTAGTTGGGATCAACATATTTGATGTATGGAACCAGGACAATAATCCAGTGTATTATAAATAAAGAGTATGGAGAGAACACGCACAGAACTCAGAACTCTAAAAACAGTCCCAGATTTTCTAGCCTCTGACATGCATCAGACTTTTGTATTAAATTACATCTGTGTAATGTTTGTAGTCACTCTCATTAAGCGAATTAGCAAGAAGCTGTACATGTCATTACATGTGAACAAATTCACTGAATCGTAACGGTATAGTAATACAGAATGGCGCACAAAATGTTAACCCTTTTAAATCCTGCACAAAATCTATATTTCTTACAAAAGTGCTGTATATCACATACGCACTAAAGGACACAAACATGGAAAGTATTTTTGACTCACATTCTGCCTCATTACCTCTTCCTACGAACATGTACGTTTGTGATCACCTTGTGGCACAAATCTTCTGAAAGTGTGCGGCACAGTTGGATGATCATGGCTCTGACAATATTGGGAGAGGAGTACAAATTTTTAACCTCGTCTTTACGCAGTTCTCTCCATGTCCCATCGTCTTCTCTCCTAGGCCCAAAAATCCTTCTCAACACCCTATTCTCAAATACCTGCAGGTCTGCTATTTCTTCTACTCCATTTAAGGATTTCCTTGTTGTTCCACTGTTCATTTCTTTGAGGCACAGAAATGCCTGAAGGATTTCTAAATGGAACAATCTGCATAACACTAAGATGTCAGAAGTACATATAAAACAAATCACACAAAAATTTCACAGATACCATTAAAACTATTTTACATTTCTCAACCCTGCACTGTTTTTTGTTCACTAGAACTTCTAAGAATGTAATTTAATTTCAAGTCATGATGATTTTGCATGTTCTCTGAGGTCTGGTCACTGAGAAACACTGAACAATAATACTTTCATAATTTACTATACATAACCAATAAAGAATAGGGTCCACAGGGAAGGCAGTCCAGCTAAGTATTAGTACTGCAATGGCAGCATGAATCACAGAACTTTCAGCACAAAAAGACCCGTAATGAGCGCAGTTCTATATTACCACTTAGGTACCTGTGCAAAAAATCAGATGATGGAAGAAATTAACCCATTATGTCCTATAGCGATCCTGATTTGTAAGCACAGTGAAGCGTGAACACTTACTCGTAGGCAGCACTGACTTGGCCTCTTTCGAAGTCTAAGGTGATCACTGATTTGGTTGCCCGGAATTGCAAACATTAGGACACGAGGTTAATTGTGTTATGATGGTGTATTTAGCATCAGAATATCTGTGTTGAAAATTAATGATTGAGAATCTTCTTTAAAAGACTTGGCATTCAATTTTCTATATCAATTTGTTTAAAGTAACATCATATTTTCAAGGGAGACAGCACAATCCTGAACTTTTTCTACAGCAGTAAAATGAACTTCACATCAATAAAAAATACTGCATATTATTTTAGTCCACTGAATTTCACTCTGTGGAGCTCCTTTTTGTAAAATAAAGGAAGGTCTATTTAAAATTAAATTAGTTCTGAATTATTTTAAGCATAATTACTAAACATGAATTTCACTGGAAATCATAATTAATGTCACTCTTCTTGGCACTCCAATGCTGGATGTGATTCTGTTTCCTCCCACACGCAAAAATATAGAGAAGAAGAAATTCCACAATGAATGCTGATGCAGAAACCAGTTAAATGAATGGAATAAAATTACTTTAGAAATGTCCAATTCAGTGATCTAGAACTGCAGAGAAATTAAGCCGTTCAGCGTCTGTCTCCAAAGGATACTATAAATGCAAAAACTGCTGTCAAACTTCCTTTTTTAACTTGCATACAGGATATGTTGCTACATTATGTTTGTCAATGTAATGACAAGTTTTCTCACTACTTATATTTTTTAAATTAATGGAAAGTGTTGAGAACCATTTCAACATTAATCTCGTATTATGATCATGAGAGTTAAGCATCTCTTTCTTGACCATTTTCAATATACAAAAATAATTATAATTGGGATATAATTTGGCATTTACCTGAAGTCAGGACTACAAACAATTCTAGATATGTACATAAAAATATGCCTCATACAACAAGCAATATCAAATGAATTAATTATTGTCAATATTTTGTCCAATCGTAACATAAACATTGTCAGCGACAAATGGTAGTCTTTAGATATGGAACTTTTAAATTTGCTGCTACTACTGACGTGATTTATTACATATTTCTCTCACTAATACTAGTTTCACTTTCACTGCCCCACCTCTAGAGAAACACCAAATGAGAATTTCACTGAGGTCAGCTCCTGAATATTAGTCCTCTTAGCTTTTATCCTCGTTATTGCTATGAACTTATTTTCATGGCAGAACTTTTAGCCAGGAGCTCACGACACCGCACCGCACCGCACCTCATATCGGGCGAGAAGTCAAGAGTGCAAGCGTAACCAGCGACCACATGTCTACTGAAGGTCTTCTTGTGATTCATCTCAAAGCGATTCAAAGATGAGAATATGATAATGTTGTCCATACTCTGACAAGCCAGCCACATCTGGTTTGTCGATGGTGTCGCTGCAGGCATTGAGTGCATTGTGGGGTCGGCTATATACTTCGTAACCACTCGAATGTCCCTGGAACAGACATTCCACAATGAAGGAATACAAGTAAATACCGTATTAGCGTATGTATAAGCAAAATGTTTTTTATAAATATTAACCATCCAAAATCGGGGTGTGGCTTATGCGTGGAACATTGCATAATTTTTTTAAAAGAAAAACTAGATTCTCTGTAGTAAGGAAACCGTGATCCCACAGCTCACTGAGCCTGCAATGTCGATGTTGCATGCTGTGAAGCGCTCAGTAGAGACTGCTAGTGTTTGAGGGAAATGAAAAATGTCAAAATGAACTTGCCAAAAATTAATGTACTGCTGTTGTTAATTCAATGGTAACACCCTCTGTCCTCATGAATGAACCATTTTAATATCATCCTCCGATCTACTCCAATATTTCCATGTGGGTCTATTCTACACCACATGTCTGCCAACAATGCGACCGTCAAACATGTACACATTCATACGAGATATATTTTTTGAAATGGTTTATAGATACAAAGGAAGAAAATATTGCAGTTAAGCCTAAAATTTATAGACTGACTAGCTTCCAAACAATGATAATGTTTCTTCTCTAACAAAAGTTTTCAGTACTGGAAAAATATAATATAATATGACATAACCGAACCATAACCTAACCTGTATGAACTAAAACTGTTTAATCAATGAGCACTACAAAGTCTATGTGAGACATATTTTAATTTGGTAAATACAGAAAGAAATTGCCTCAATGCTTGGAGCCCAGCATCTGCCTCACTGACGAGATGCCAGAGACTGTGCTAGCATAATCTCTCACCTTTAAAAAATTCCTTTACAAACATACTTTTTCATATTTACAACTGTGTACTGCTGGAAGGGTAACAAAGAACTGTGTTTTGTAAAGTGTTTCAGACTTTTCACCCCCCCCCCAAAAAAAAAAACGGAATATGGTTCCTCCATTATGATCAGCCCCTGTCAATAAGGACCTGTCGTCAGACAGAATACTAAATAAGTAAACAAATAAAACTGCGAGACATGACATCAGTGCATTATTGTACTACGTTGACTGCTTCACATTGTTGGCTCTCTGTCTCTTAGTAACGGCCTGTTGACGTCTTGTGTGGCGAGAAAGGTGAACAAGAGTTTAATCGTAGACCGTAAATATTGTACTCAGATAATATAATTTAAACACCAGGAATATTTTGGCATAAAATCTTCGTCGGGATGATCAACTCAAAAATTGAACGTGGCAATCAACGGCAAGTGAACATCACAGACTTGCCGCCAGAGGTGCTGGCTCTCATTTTCGAACATTGCTCTTACGATGTCTTGGCTACACACGTGAGGCTCGTGTGCAAACGATTCTGTGACGTCGCCACCTCAGTTCTCAATCGCGGGTTCTGGACCTTGGGTCGAAAGATTGATCGAGCCATGGTGGAGGCCGTGTCTCTTTTTGAAGAAGGTAGAACATTGGAAGAACTTCTGGTAATGACTCATCCTTTCAGTTCAGCTATGGTGGATGTCCTGCCTCGTATAGGACAAGGTCGAACAACTGAACGACAACTGCTAATGGATCAACATTACATCGCACTGATGCTTATGAAACGTAAGGTAAGAGGGCGAGAAAGGGCCAAACTTTGTAACAACTCACAAGAATGTGAAGCACGCTGTGTCACGAACAAACCCTTAATAGTGTTGATTAAGGTTTAACATTTCTGCTTCTAAAACAAGCGCATAACTCCTTTTGTTTGACGGACTGAGCCGGGGCAGATTCAGACGCGTTCCTGAAACTGCTGCAGGCCGAGGATATGCTCGTCACAACAACACGAAGCTAAGAGTGCACGTGGTTGACAACAGAAATGAAAGCGACTTCGTGCGTTTAATCGACCAGAGTAAATTGTCATTGACCTAGAAACTGATCGACAATCAGGTTACAAAACCAAACCAACCAACCAACCAAAGAAGCTAACTGAGGGCAGAGGCCTGCGCAAGCGCAAGCATCGTCCCTACCTAGGTGAAACCATTCCTGCGCACAAGACGCATTGCTGGAAATGGTAAACGGTCGTAATATAAGAACGGAAATTTTGCTAACGCTAACGGGGTTGCGTCGTGGCGGGAGCCTCGACCATTCAAACTGGGATTTGTTGCTGCTGATGGGAGGTTATCCTGTCAGGCAAGTTGTCGAAGGAATTTGGTTGGTTGGGTCTCTGGGGTATGAACCCAGAGAGGGAGGGGCCGTTTCGGCTGAAGGCCTCTGCGGCATGGGGGGAAGATCACTTCAGCTGATGGCCTCCATGATCGGGGG